ACATGGGGAAAATATAAATAGCTAAATTCAAATCCAAATACCTACAAAAACCTCTCACATTGATAAACATCTACAGAGTTCCACAGTCAAACATTAGCCAATTTAGTCAAAACCTAGGAAGTATGATAACTGATGCACGCATGAACAAAGATCACTTACTACTCTCAGGTGACTTCAATATAAATCTCCTGCAAGACCAGGACCCACACGTTACTGAATTCACAAACACAATGAGTAACTATGTTACTACCAACAGTAACAAAACCTACAAGAGTTACAGAGACTAGTGTTTCCCTACTTGACCACATCTGGACCAACACCATATCCCCTTTAAAATCAGGCATAATTACAGATAATACCACAGACCACTACCCTACTTTCCTCATAACAACTCTTGGTAAACTACCCCCAAGACACTACTAAAGTCACCTTCAGACTTCACAATGAGGCAGCCATTAATAACTTCACAACAGCAGTAGCAAACATTGATTGGCACACTGAGCTAGAAATCTATACAGATATTGACAAATGTATTAATAATTTTCTAAAAAAGACCCAATACCTCTATAACAAGCACTGCCCTAAAAAAACTAAACAGATGACAGCTAAGAGACTGAACAGTCCCTGGCTAACACCCAGCATTCTCAAATCCATAAATACAAAACACCAATATGAAAAACAGTACAGAATGGGTCACATAACCAGAGACCAAACAAAACGTTACTCGTCAATCCTAACCAGCCTGATAAGAAGGGCAAAAAAATTGTATTATGAGAACAGATTATCCAACTTACGAGGTGATATAAAAAAGACCTGGAAACCCTATCAGAAATTCTGGGAACAAAAAAGATATCACGAAATAGCGAAATAAAATTAGCAAAATCAGATGAACCCCAACTCCCACCAACAGAAACAGCAAACAGACTCAATGATTTCTTCTCCACTATAGGACAAAACCTTGCCAATAAAATCCCAAGCTCAGATACCCCACCAAATGACTACCTCACCGGCAACTACCCGAACACACTGTTCCTAGCTCCGACTAACCCATACGAAGTCTCCCTTATTATCAACACACTAAAAACAAGGCAGGAGATTTAAATACCTTACCACTCTTTATATACAAAAAACTGTCACAAGTGCTATCACCAATCATTGCAACACTCTTTAACAAATCCATTGAATCCTCCACCTTCCCTACAGTACTCAAAATAGCAAGGGTCCCCACCCCCGATCCACAAAGGAGGGGACCAAACAGAGTTGAATAACTATAGGCCAATACCAACTTACACCCTCTCTCAAAAATCTTCGAAAAATTAATTCATAAACGAATCTACTCCTACCTTATCTCCCAAAACATACTCAACCCCTGCCAATTTGGATTCAGGCCTAATAAAAATACTAATGATGCTATTATAAAACATGCTAGAACATATATACACTGCAATAGAGAAAAAAGAAGTCCCACTGGGGATCTTCATTGACTTACGTAAAGCTTTTGATACAGTTGAGCATGACTTGCTCCACGTAAAATTGTCACACTATGGTATAAGAGGGCACTCCCTCAACTACCTCAAGTCATAACCTCAGCAACAAAGCCAATATGTGTACGCAAATGGGGCAAACTCTTCTGCGCAACCAATTACAGTTGGTGTCCCACAGGGAAGTGTCCTTAGCCTTCTTCTCTTTCTCCTATGCATAAATGACCTTCCAAATGCTTCGCAATTACTCAAACCCACACTATTTGCAGATGACACTACATACGTCTTCTCTCACCCGAGCCCAGTCACGCTAGCCAATACTGTAAATACCGAATTACAGAAAATATCTACCTGGATGAGGACTAACAAACTTACACTAAACATTGACAAAACCTACTTCATTCAGTTTGGTAACAGAGCTACAGATGTCCCTCTTAACATAATGATAAACGGATCACCTATCACAAAGCTAACAGAGGGAAAATTCTTAGGAACCCACCTTGATAATAGACTCAAATTTCATACACATATACAACAAATTTCTAAGAAAATTTCCAAGACTGTAGGCATACTATCGAAGATACGGTACTATGCTCCACAGTCAGCCCTCCTGGCCCTATATCACTCTCTTATTTACCCCTATCTCACCTTTTGGAATTTGTGCATGGGGCTCAACAACAATTAACCATCTCAGACCACTAATTACCCAACAAAAGGCTGCAGTTAGAATGATAAATTCTCACTACAGGCAGCACACTCCACCAATATTCAATACACTAAACCTACTCACCATACAAAACATCCATACTTATTACTGCACCTATTACATACATAGAACACTTAACTCTGATATTAACCCTCCCCTCAAACATCTCCTTGCCAACCTCAACAGAACACATGACCATAACGCAAGGCACAGATCACTCTTTGATGTTCCTCGTGTCCATCTCACACTATGCAAAAACTCAATGCACATAAAAGGCCCTAAAATCTGGAATTCATTACCTGTAAATATAAAAGAAACCCTACCTGTTTTATAAATCAAGTCTCTTCTCAAAGATCACATACTCACCCCAAAACCAAATAAATACTGAATAACTGAACCTTATAAATTGTATATCTTAAATGTTTCTCACAATTATATCACATAAATGTTAAACCTAAAACCCAATCTAACTTTATTATTTTTTAAATACACTACCTAACAGAATACTCCATACGACTGAATGTACAACAATGCATGCAACCATATGACCTGTCTTTGTAATACTCATTTGTGCTTTATAGTTATCTGTTTACAATAATGTATTATCACTGATTTCATCATTGCTTAGTTAATTTTAAGCCAGCCCGTAATGCTATGCATAGTATAAGTGGCTTTGGCATGCTGCTCTTATGACAAATTCTGTTTGTCTGTCATCAGACAAATAGTATTCAAGTACCAAGGAACAATACCTGCAATAGAAAACCGCCCACTAAATTATCAACAACTACCTTCTCGTCTGAAGCATGGTGATCACTTCCTAGTAAAACTGCCTGCTACTGCTTTCGAGAAAAAGGCTCAGAAGAGGCGTTACGTCTGTGCACATAAAAAAAAAAACGCCCACAACAATGCAGAGACACTCGTTTTATGTGAGGAGTGTAAAACACCACTGTGCATGACACCATGTTTCAAAGACTCCCACAGGCTGCAGAACTTCTAGAAACATTTCCTGTGACTGTATATGTGTATATAAAATATAGAAAAATAGTAATAAACAACATTTCATATCGTTTGTGTAAACAACAATTATAAACAATATAAGGACAACAGTGTTTGTGCAGTTATTGTGTAGTAAATAAAGAGACAAAACTTACAAAATAGTGCTCATATTAGTCTCACAGGCCATAAAAGTTACTTGAAAAAAAAAAAAATAGAAAAAAATACCAAAAAACTAAAACTAAAACCAGGTGACCAGCAGTTGGCAATGTTACCATATGCCGGTCATTTTCCATCAACTTTACGCCTCCATAGCTCGTTAAGTATTGCTAGTGAAAATTTTTTGTTTAGCCTATAAGATTAAAAAAAAAAAAAAAAAAACTATCTTTTCATAAGAATTTTTTTTTTTTTTTTTAAATTTTGGCGACCCTGAGAACAAGTCTGGGAGAGGGCCTGTCGACCCTGAAAGGGTTAAGCAACCATGGTGACATTACACATCCTTGTCTAAGACCTACTTTTACCAGGAAGTAGTCTCCCTCTCTTCTACACACCCTAACCTGAGCCTCACTGTCCTCATAAAAACTCTTTACAGCATTTAGTAACTTACCACCTATTCCATATACTTGCAACATCTGCCACATTGCTCCCCTATCCACTATCATATGCCTTTTCTAAATCCATAAATGCAATAAAAACTTCCCTACCTTTATCTAAATACTGTTCACATATATGCTTCAATGTAAACACCTGATCTACACATCCCCTACCCACTCTAAAATCTCCTTGCTCATCCGCAATCCAACATTCTGTCTTAACTCTAATTCTTTCAATAATAACCCTACCATACACTTTTCCTGGTATACTCAAACTAATTCCTCTATAATTTTTACAATCTCTTTTGTCCCCCTTCCCTTTATATAAAGGGACTAAACATGTACATGCTCTCTGCCAATCCCTAGGTACCTTCCCCTCTTTCATACATTGATTAAACAAAAATACCAACCACTCCAACACTATATCCCCTCTGCTTTTAACATTTCTGTCATGATCCCATCAGTTCCAGCTGCTTTACCCCCTTTCATTCTACGTAATGCCTCACGCACCTCCCCCACACTTACATCCTGCTCTTCTTCACTCCTAAAAGATGGTATACCTCCCTGGCCAGTGCATGAAATTACCGCCTCCCTTTCTTCATCGACATTTAAAAGTTCCTCAAAGTATTCTCGCCATCTACCCAATACCTCCATCTCCCCATCTACTAACTCTCCTACTCTGTTTTTAACTGACAAATCCATTTGTTCCCTAGGCTTTCTTAACTTGTTTAACTCACTCCAATATTTTTTCTTATTTTCATTAAAATTTCTTGACAGTGCCTCTCCCACTCTTATCATCTGCTCTCCTCTTGCACTCTCTCACCACTCTCTTCACCTTTCTTTTACTCTCCATATACTCTACTCTTCTTATAACACTTCTGCTTTGTAAAAACCTCTCATAAGCTACCTTTTTCTCTTTTATCACACCCTTTACTTCATCATTCCACTATCCCCAAATAAAGAGGCCAAATGGAGAGGGGAGAAGAAAGGTTAGGAGTATTCAGATTCAATCTGAGGAGACACGAGGTTGAATACCTTGGCTCAATAGCCCCTTCACCACACCAAGGGACCCATCCCTGAAGGGATGCTGATTGACAAGACTGGTTATTCTCCTTGCTTACCTATTAGCACTTGATAGGCTTCATTTATGCTCTTTCAGTGTGAGCTGTGTATTAAATACTCTTAAGTAGCATTACTTTTACAAGGAAAGCAAATAAAAAATAAATCATTAATATATCTTTTTATTTATAATATAATCATACAAGAACAATCACTAGCTTGGCTATATTTATAATATAATCATATAAGAACAATTGCTAGCTTAGCTATATTTATAATGCAATCATACAAGAGCAATCGCTAGCTTAGCAAAGTATTAACTATGAAGGTTCCAGGATAATTAGCTAGGAATGATCAACAGTGATGTAATATTCAACAATCCTGGCAATACACCAGCATTTGGTACAATGCAGGAGCAGTGAACTTACCAAGTTCAACTCAAAACCACCCAAGCATACCTGTGCCCAAACGCACTGTGCAGTACAACATAGCGAAAAGCCCAAAATAACCAAAGCCCCCACGCATACGTTTCTTGGGATCTACAAAAAATAAATAATTCTTTATTAATAATAAATAAATAAATATATATATCACACTTCACATACAATGCATTCATGGAAACAAATGGAAATACTGCAGTTTAACTGGGACTCGAACCCAGGCCCCCCAGCTCTCCGTAAGTAGGGAACTAGAGATCTGATGTTTTAGTGCACTACATCACCATGACAACTTTGGGCACCCTGCAGGATCACTAGCCATGTTTGCACTCAAAGCTGGGCACATTAGGGAAATGGACCTCAGCAATTTCATTCTTCTCTTTTATGTCCATTCTTTAGCAGTACAAATATTAATGCATTCAGAGAAATGAGTGCTCTATGCAGAGACATACTGCAGTACACTGCAGTAATTGGTGTACTGTACATACAAGGGGCTTTTAAAATACAGTGGACCCCCGGTTAACGATATTTTTTCAATCCAGAAGTATGTTCAGGTGCCAGTACTGACCGAATTTGTTCCCATAAGGAATATTGTGAAGTAGATTAGTCCATTTCAGACCCCCAAACATACACGTACAAACGCACTTACATAAATACACTTACATAATTGGTCGCATTCAGAGGTGATCGTTATGCGGGGGTCCACTGTATATGATTGAAGGATGAATCACTTAAATTACAAACTGTCATACCTCCTGTGTAGTATCCAAGAGCATAGGCAATCCGACCAACGCACCACACAGCTCCTCCTACAGCGCTCACCACAGGATTATAGAGGCCTCCCAAGAGCAACAGCGTCAGGAATGTTGGGTAATTTTCAAGACTGTAAAAAGAAAAATTACTTTCACAACTTGATTAAAGTGCAAGCTCCTATGTACAAAATTCAAAATTATGCAATTAAATTTAGTAAAATACAGAAAAATTTTCAAATTCCAGAAACATAAAATGCAAGTTTTACTTATTGACTTTGGAAATTACTGATCAAATACGCATGAAAATTTGTAATACAATATGTACAGGCAACTCCAACTTAAACTACCTAACCTATGCCCCACATTTGACAAGTGTGATCATAGAGTAATTGCACATAAATTAAGGGGTTCGTTAAAAAAAAAACAAAAAAACAAAAAAAGGATAACTTGAAAAGCAAGCAAACAGATTTTCAATTTTCTGACAAACAGAACACAAGTAGTAGTACAGTGGACCCTCGACCAATGATGGCATCGTATAACATTAAATCCGACTAGCGATACATTTTAACTCAAAAATTTTGCCTCGACTAGCGCTAAAAAACTCGACCAACGCGATACGTTCTGTTCGAGACGCATCCACGTGTGGCCTGAGCGCACCTTACTTGTCCCGTGGGTGCCAGTGTTTACAAGCCAGCCACCGTGGTCACATCCAAACAATCAGAACATTTCATATTATCACAGCATTTTTAGTGATTGCACCTACAAAATAAGTCACCATGGGCCCCAAGAAAGCTTCTAGTGCCAACCCTGTGATAAAAAGGGTGAGAATTAGAATGGAAATTAAGAAAGATTTTGAAGGGTTTGGAGCTAACCCTGAGATGCCTATGCCAGTTGTGGAATCCATTGTGCCTACTTCAAAGATTAAGGAAATGTGTGCAAAGTGGGTTGAACTGCAAACCTTTATGGATGAAAATCACCCTAACACAGCTATTGCAAGCCGTGCTGGTGACTGTTACAATGACAATGTTATGGCCCATTTTAGACAAATCTTAAAGGAACGGGAGCTACAGAGCTCTATGGACAGATATGTTGTGCGACAGAGGTCCAGTGACTCTCAAGCTGGTCCTAGTGGCATTAAAGAAGAAGGGAAGTAACCCTGGAAAAGGACTTGACACCAAGTCCTGATGGAAGGGGATTCCCCTTCTAAACACTAACACCATCCACACTCTCCCCTCCTCCCATCCCATCAATCATCACCAGATCTTCAATAAAGGTAAGTGTCATGTAATTGTACATGTCTTCTTCAGTTTGTGTGTATTAAAATTAATATTTCATGTGGTAAAATTTTTTTTTTTTCAATACTTTGGGGTGTCAAGAACAGATTAATTTGATTTCCATTATTTCTTATGGGGAAAATTAACTCGTCTAACGATAATTTTGACTAACGATGAGCTCTCGGGAACGGATTAATATCGTTGGTCGAGGGTCCATTGTAGTTAACAAGAGGAAAATTCGGCATTATCAAAAAAAAAGCTCAATACCTCAAGGCACAGTCCCAGCACCTTTACCGTTTGTTATCTACACACCTGGTGTATACCTGGAATGTGTTTCAGAGGTCAATGGCCCCACAGCCCAGTCAGTGACCAGGCCTCATGGTGGATCAGGGCCTGATCAACCAGGCTGTTACTGCTGGCCATACACAACCCGATGTACGAACCACAGCCCGGCTTGTCAGGTACTGACTTTAGGTGCCTGTCCAGCACATTCTTGAAGACAGCCAGAGGTCTATTGGTAATCTCCCTTATGTATGCTGGGAGGCAGTTGAACAGTCTAGGGCCCCCTCACACTTATTGTGTTGTCTCTTAACAAGGGATGTTGCATCATCTGCCAAGTCTTTTGCTTTCATAGGGAGTGATTTTCATGTACAAGTTTGGTACTAATCCCTCTAGGATTTTCCAAATGTATATAATCATGTATGTCTCCAACCTGCATTCTACGGAGTACAGGTTGAGGAACTTTCAGGTGTTCCCAGTAATTGACGTGTTTTATCAGTTGTGTGCGCTGTGAAGGTTCTCTGTACATTTTCTATGTCAGCAATTTCATCTGCCTTGAAAGGTGCTGTTAATGTGCAGCACTAGATAGAACAAGCAACCTGAAGAGTGTCATCATGGGCTTGACATCCCAGTTTTGAGGGTTCTCATTATCCATCCTGTCATTTTTCTAGCAGATGCAATTGATACAGTGTTGTAGTCTTTGAAGGCAAGATCCTCTGACATCACCCCCAGGTCTTTTACATTAGTTTTTGTTCTATTGTGAGGTTGGAATTTGTTTTATACTCTGATATAGTTTTAATTTCCTCAAGTTTTCCTATTCAGAGTAATTGAAATTTCTCATATTGCTTTCTGTGGCCCATTGAAAGATCTGGTTGATGCCTGCCTGGAGTCCTGCAGTGTCTTCAATGGAGGACACTGTCATGCAAATTTGGGTGTCATCTGCAAAGGATGACATGGTGCTGTTTCTTACATCCCTGTCTGTCAGATACGAGGATGAGGAACAGGATGGGAGCGAGTACTATGCCTTGTGGAACAAAGCTTTTCACCTTAGCCGCTTCAAACTTGACTCTGTTTACTATTACTCTGTGTTCTATTTGTTAGGAAATTATAGATCCATCTACCAACTGTTCCTGTTATTCCTTTATCACGCATTTTGTGTGCTATTACACCATGGTCACATCTGTCAAAGGCTTTTGCAAAGTGTGTGTATAATACATCTGCATTTTATTTATCTTCTAGAGCATCCGGGACCTTGTCATAGTGGTCCAGTAGTTGGGACAGGAAGGAGCAACCTGCTTTAAACCCATGTTGACCTGGGTTGTGTAACTGATGGGTATTTAGATGGGTGGCTATCTTGCTTCTTAGAACCTTTTCAAGGATTTTTATGATTTTATTTTTTTTTATCACACTGGCCGATTCCCACCAAGGCAGGGTGGCCCGAAAAAAAAAAACTTTCACCATCATTCATTCCATCACTGTCTTGCCAGAAGGGTGCTTTACACTACAGTTTTTAAACTGCAACATTAACACCCCTCCTTCAGAGTGCAGGCACTGTACTTCCCATCTCCAGGACTCAAGTCCGGCCTGCCGGTTTCCCTGAACCCCTTCATAAATGTTACTTTGCTCACACTCCAACAGCATGTCAAGTATTAAAAACCATTTGTCTCCATTCACTCCTAAAAACACGCTCACGCATGCCCGCTGGAAGTCCAAGCCCCTCTCACACAAAACCTCCTTTACCCCCTCCCTCCAACCTTTCCTAGGCCGACCCCTACCCCGCCTTCCTTCCACTACAGACTGATACACTCTTGAAGTCATTCTGTTTCGCTCCATTCTCTCTACATGTCCGAACCCCTCAACAACCCTTCCTCAGCCCTCTGGACAACAGTTTTGGTAATCCCGCACCTCCTCCTAACTTCCAAACTACGAATTCTCTGAATTATATTCACACCGCACATTGCCCTCAGACATGACATCTCCACTGCCTCCAGCCTTCTCCTCGCTGCAACATTCATCACCCATGCTTCACACCCGTATAAGAGCGTTGGTAAAACTATACTCTCATACATTCCCCTCTTTGCCTCCAAGGACAAAGTTCTTTGTCTCCACAGACTCCTAAGTGCACCACTCACCCTTTTCCCCTCATCAATTCTATGAATCACCTCATCTTTCATAGACCCATCCGCTGACACGTCCACTCCCAAATATCTGAATACATTCACCTCCTCCATACTCTCCCTCCAATCTGATATCCAATCTTTCATCAGCTAATCTTTTTGTTATCCTCATAACCTTACTCTTTCTTGTATTCACTTTTAATTTTCTTCTTTTGCATACCCTACCAAATTCATCCACCAATCTCTGCAACTTCTCTTCAGAATCTCCCAAGAGCACAGTGTCATCAGCAAAGAGCAACTGTGACAACTCCCACTTTATGTATGATTCTTTATCTTTTAACTCCACGCCTCTTGCTAAGACCCTCGCATTTACTTCTCTTATAACCCCATCTATAAATATATTAAACAACCACGGTGACATCACACATCCTTGTCTAAGGCCTACTTTTACTGGGAAATAATTTCCCTCTTTCCTACATACTCTTAACTTGAGCCTCACTATCCTCGTAAAAACTCTTCACTGCTTTCAGTAACCTACCTCCTACACCATACACCTGCAACATCTGCCACATTGCCCCCCTATCCACCCTGTCATATGCCTTTTCCAAATCCATAAATGCCACAAAGACCTCTTTAGCCTTATCTAAATACTGTTCACTTATGTGTTTCACTGTAAACACCTGGTCCACACACCCCCTACCTTTCCTAAAGCCTCCTTGTTCATCTGCTACCCTATTCTCCGTCTTACTCTTAATTCTTTCAATAATAACTCTACCATACACTTTACCAGGTATACTCAACAAACTTATCCCCCTATAATTTTTGCACTCTCTTTTGTCCCCTTTAATAATAAGCACTCGCCACAGTTACTTATCACCATTTGCAAATTATACCAAAATAAGCACGAAAATTACCTCAGAAGAAGATTAAAAAAAAATTGCAGATAGATATAAACAGTCTTCCAGTGTCAAGTAAAGATGATCAACAGTGACAAGTTCCAACTGCTTAGAAATGCAAAGAATGAAAAACACAAGAAGATCACCAAATAAAGAAACAGGAACATAGGAAAATTCACAAAAGGTGAATGAGAACTTTCTAAACAAAAAAAAATTCTTACACATTTTTAGACACTTGTGCCCTCACAGAACCAAAAAAGCATTAATTACCAGAAATCTTCAGCCCTAAAATTACTCATTGGAGCAGGGAGAAAAAAATACAGATAATAAAAGTGGAGGGTGTTTGGGGGTCTGCCCCAAAAAAATTTGCACAGGGGCCATAACATACGGAGGGGAGAAGTTGGGAAAATGTGTAAAAAAAACCCCAGTGAAAAACGGGGTGCCAGGGGGCAAAATTAGAGAACACTGTATTAACATCCATGGCCCAGATTTTTTTAAAAACACAAAACCACAAGAATCAGAAAACTGCGGGAAAGAAAAAAGTTTTCAAGGGGGAAATGGAGCATTACCTCTGCCCAAATGCCAGATAACCAGGCTGTGATGGGTATGTGGGGCCCGCAGGCCACAAACGTTACAGCAGGTTTATCAGGGAAGCACCGGGAAGATTGGCCCCGGGCTGGGGTGCAAAGGGAAGAAATCTCTTGAAACCCTTCAAAAGGTATAGCAAAAGTGAAATTTGGCCCATAAACAAAAATTGGTGCAATAAATTTGCTTCCCAAAAATCTTTTTAAAAAAACTGCATCATGGGAAAACAGAATTTCAAGGCTGACGGAAAAAGGGTGTTGCAGAACCCATTATGGCATAATACATACGTTGTCAAACCTTCTGTCGCAACCCCCATCCTGGGTGCTCCTGGTGTCCAAAATTTAAAAAAAAAAAAAAATTTTTTTTAGAATGTTAAGAAATTTTTTCCCCATTGAAAGACACCAAAAAACGAAATTTGATGGGGAAAAATGACGGAATTTGCTCTCGCGAAGTTACGAACTCGGCGATATTTTTCAAACGGGGATTTCGCCCCCTTTGAGCCCTTTTTCGGCTAATTCCATTGTTCCCTCGACCAAACCAAGCTATTTCTTTAGAACTCCATTTTTTCTATCGATTGAGTACAAGAAAGCCCCTTTTTTGTTTTCAACTCCCTAACTGTCAAAATTTCAATTTGGCCAATTTTTACAAAAACTAAAAAATATTAATTTCAAAATAAGGTCCAGAATGAACAAGCAGACATTCCTGGCTCTAAAATAACATTTTCTTTGTTCACAGTCATGTCTCCAGGCCCCTCTGATATTACTCTTGCTTTCTATTTTGAATTTTTATTCAAACAAAAAAATAGAAGACTTATTACTATGCAGACAACTGCAATACTGTAATAATTGTATAAATAATATCAACCCATTCATGACTGCATATTAGAATGGCTAGTTGGACATTTATTGGACAATGACATCATTCGTTTACTTTTGAACATTGGCAAAAATCAAACATTTCCCCTACTTTGAGCTCAGTTTCCAGGTTTTTTTATAGTAAAATCAATCAAAATCACCTCTATTTCTATAATACGTTTTCCATTCTATCAAATGAGACCAAGAAAATGAGAATACAACCATAAATACTATACAAAAATAGACCACAAAGTCGGCATTTTAATAAAAAAAAAAAAAAACGGTCGGAGTTTTTTTTTCTCATTATGCACTGCATGCTCCAGGATTTTATGTGGTGCACAGTGACCACACAGACCCATTCTCTCACATGTAGGCCTACCAGCTTTCTCCTGCTTGATTTGAAGCCGCTAGAATTTATGAGTATACATATGTCAAACACGGTACCTCGTAAGACGTATATACAGTGGACCCCCGCATAACGGACGCCTTGCATAGCGGACAATCCGCATAGCGGACGCTTTGTTCGCTAAAATTTTGCCCCACATAGTGGACAAAAACCCGCTCAGCGGCCTTCGTCCGAGACGCGTCCAATGTGCGCCCTCAGCCAGCCTCACATGTGCCGCCTGTCCCATTGTTTACCAGCCAGCCTCCGCGGTAACATTCAAGCATACGATCAAAATATTTCGTATTATTACAGTGTTTTCGGTGCTGTTTCTGGAAAATAAGTGACCATGGCCCCAAGAAAGCTTCTAGTTCCAAACCCCTACAGCAATAAGGGTTAGAATTCCATTGAAATGAAGAAAGAGATCATTGATAAGTATGAAAGTGGAGTGCGTATCACCGACCTGGTCAGGTTGTACAAGAAACCCATATCAACCATCTCTTCTATTGTGGCAAGAAAACGGCAATCAAGGAAGCTGTTGTTGCCAAAGGTTTAACTGTGTTTTCGAAACAAAGATCGCAAGTGATGGAAGATGTTGAGAGACTCTTATTGGTGTGGATAAATGAAAAACAGCTAGCAGGAGATAGCGTCTCTCAAGCGATCATATGTGAAAAGGCTAGGAAGTTGCATGAGGATTTAATTAAAAAAATGCCTGCAACTAGTGATGATGTGAGTGAATTTAAGGCCAGCAAAGGTTGGTTTGAGAGATTTAAGAAGCGTAGTGGCATACATAGTGTGATACGGCATGGTGAGGCTGCCAGTTCGGACCACAAAGCGGCTGAAAAATATGTGCAGGAATTCAAGGAGTACATAGAAACTGAAGGACTGAAACCTGAACAAGTGTTTAATTGTGATGAAACAGGCCTGTTCTGGAAGAAAATGCCAAGCAGGACCTACATTACTCAGGAGGAAAAGGCACTCCCAGGACATAAGCCTATGAAAGACAGGCTTACTTTGTTGATGTGTGCCAATGCTAGTGGTGATTGCAAAGTGAAGCCTTTATTAGTGTATCACTCTGAAACTCCCAGAGCGTTCAGGCAAAAGAATGTCCTCAAGGATAATTTGTGTGTGCTGTGGAGGGCAAACAGTAAGGCATGGGTCACTAGGAATTTTTCTATAACTGGTTACACCATGCATTTGCCCCCAATGTGAAAGATTACCTAACTGAAAAGAAATTAGAACTTAAGTGCCTCCTGGTGTTAGACAATGCCCCTGGTCATCCTACAGACGTGGCAGAGCGACTTTATGGGGACATGAGCTTCATTAAGGTCAAGTTTTTGCCTCCTAATACCACTCCTCTCCTGCAGCCCATGGACCAGCAGGTCATTTCCAACTTCAAGAAACTGTACACAAAAGCTCTGTTTCAAAAGTGCTTTGAAGTGACCACAGACACTCGATTGACTCTAAAAGAGTTTTGGAAGGATCACTTTAATATCCTCAATTGTGTAAACCTTATAGGTAAGGCTTGGGAGGGAGTGACTAAGAGAACCTTGAACTCTGCTTGGAAGAAACTGTGGCCAGAATGTGTAGACAAAAGGGATTTTGAAGGGTTTGAGGCTAACCCTGAGAATCCTATGCCAGTTGAGGAATCAATTGTGGCATTGGGGAAGTCCTTGGGGTTGGAGGTTAGTGGGGATGATGTGGAAGAGTTGGTGGAGGAGGACAATGAAGAACTAACCACTGATGAGCTGATAGATCAACTTCAAGAGCAAGAGGCCAGACCTGGGGAAACTGGTTCAAAGGAGGGGAGAGAGAAATTGAAGGAATTGCCTACTTCAAAGATTAAGGAAATCTGTGCAAAGTGGCTTGAAGTGCAAACCTTCATGGATGAAAATCACCCTCACACAGCTATTGCAAGCCGTGCTGGTGACTATTACAATGACAATGTTGTGAACCACTTTAGACAAATCATAAAGGAACGAGAGGTACAGGCCACTATGGACAGATATGTTGTGCGAAAGAAGTCCAGTGACTCTGAAGCTGGTCCTAGTGGCATTAAAAGAAGAAGGGAAGTAACCCCAGAAAAGGACTTGCCTCCTCAAGTCTTAATGGAAGGGGATTCCCCTTCTAAACACTAACACTCTCTCTCCCCTCCTCCCATCCCATCAATCATCACCAGATCTTCAATAAAAGTAAGTGTCATGTAATTGTGCATGCCTTTTTCAGTTTGTGTGTACTAAAATTAACATTTTTTTGTGGTAAAAAAAAATTTTTTTCATACTTTTGGGTGTCTTGCACGGATTAATTTTATTTCCATTATTTCTTATGGGGAAAATTAATTCACATAGCGAACATTTCGCATAACAGCCAGCCCTCTTGCACGGATTAAGGTCGCTATGCGGGGGTCCACTGTATATGGCCGTGACAGTCAAAGGGTTAACAACTTTCTATAATTCCGTGAAATCTATTAAAAGGATACAAAAACTATGTACATATTCATCTCATCAACTCTATTACATCTCATGAAAACAAAAAAAAAAAAAAATATTTTAAAAATTGTTAATCATACAATTTAAAATTTATACTAAAACAAAATATATTATTAAAGATACATGATAAACAGGTATCTTACGTGTTTTGGTGTGCTCTCTGGTAACAGTTAAACAGGTCATTATTTGGGCTGTACATTGTCGGATAATGGATCTTCAGTTTTTTGCGCATGGACCCTACCTGTAATGATAAGGCTTTGAATTAATTTTAACAAATACTGTAAACTTTCATGAAAAATTTCCAGTTGAAAAAACTAGTTATGTAATCTTCATTCAAGCTATCCCATGATCACTTACTATTAATAGCTATAGAATACACTGTTCATATCTTTTAAAACCAAATACTGCCACACATGCTTAATCAACCTGTCAGGAAATACACAAAAAATAAAGGATAAAATTATTATAAAGACTGGTACTGTATATCAAGGCAGCAAAAAAAAAAAAGTAAGAAACCTATTCCAGATGAACATCAACTGCCACACTCACACTAACAATAAGCAACACATACTACAAAAGTATGCCACAACTCAGACTGCAACAATAACTACAAAACACTGCAATAATAACTACAAAACACACCAACAATAACTACAAGAATACCACAACAATGCAACAACCACAATACATTATAATACTTCCTAACATCCCTTTGATTCATCTGAGTCTTCAACTTCCAATTGTGACCTCTTGTGTCTGTGTCCCATCTCTGGAACATCCTGTCTTTGTCCACCTCGTCTATTCCGCGCAGTATTTTATATGTTGTTATCATGTCTCCCCTGACCCTCCTGGCCTCCAGTGTCGTCAGGACGATTTCCCTCAACCTTTCTTTGTAGGACAATCCCCGTAGCTCTGGGACTAGTCTTGTTGCAAACCTTTGCACTTTCTCTAATTTCTTTAGGTGCTTGACTAGGTGTGGATTCCAAACTGGTGCTGCATACTCCAGTATGGGCCTGACATAAATGGTACACAGAGTCTTGAACGAATCCTTACTGAGGTATCGGAATGCTATCCGTAGGCTTGCCAGGCGCCCGTATGCTGCAGCAGTTAACTGATTGATGTGCGCCTCAGGAGATATGCTCGGTGTTATACTCACCCCCAGATCTTTTTCCTTGAGTGAGGTTTGCAGACTTTGGCCATCTAAACTATATTGTGTCTGCAGTCTTCTTTGCCCTTCCCCAATCTTCATGACTTTGCATTTGGCAGGGTTAAACTCAAGGAGCCAGTTGCTGGACCAGGCTTGTAGCCTGTCCAGGTCTCTTTGTAGTCCTGCCTGATCCTCATCCGATTTGATTCTTCTCATTAACTTCACATCATCCGCAAACAAGGACACTTCCGAGTCTATCCCTTCCGTTATGTCATTCACATATACCAAGAACAGCACAGGTCCTAGGACTGATCCCTGTGGAACCCCACTTGTCACAGGCGTCCACTCTGACACCTCGTCACGTACCATGACTCGTTGTTGCCTCCCTGTCAGGTATTCTCTGATCCATTGCAGTGCCTTTCCTGTTGTGTGTGCCTGATCCTCTATTATTATTATTATTATTATAATCAAAAAGAAGTGCTAAGCCACAAGGGCTATACAGCGCTGCAGGGTAGAGAAGGAAGCGAGGGTATTGGATGGCAGAAGGGAGGAGGGATGATCAGCAGGTTACAGAAAACAGCGGGGCAGGGGATAGTACGGGGGGTAGAGGGTAGCAAGAGATTGAAGTAGAAAGGGGTGACGGTATCAGAATTTGTGAAGTCAGTCAGTTGTTGTCAAAAAGTCAATGAGAGAGTCCGGATGAAAGGTGGGTCCATCAGCGAGAAGGGAAGGTAAAGAGAGAGTAGCGGAGCGAAGACAACGACAGAGGTAAATTCTGCGTGCTCGTTGATAAAGTGGGCAGTCCAACAGAATGTGGCTGACTGATAATGGAGCTTGGCAATTCTCACAGAGAGGAGCAGGACGCCTCTCCATGAGATATCCACGAGTAAGACGAGTATGGCCAATGCGAACACGGGAGAGAGTAGTCTCCCAACCTCGACACTGGTGATAAGAAGACGGCCAGTAACCGATACTCGGTTTAATAGACTGAAGTTTGTTGCCGAGCATAGTAGACCAACGTTGTTGCCAACGGGTGTGAAGGTGGGAAGATATTGCAGCAAAATAGTCTGTAAATGGAATACCTCTATAAGAAACTGGTAGGTTATGTACTGCTGACCGCGCAGCAGTGTCTGCCTGTTCATTGCCCTGTACGTCAACATGACCAGGGACCCAACAAAAAACAATATCTTTATGCTTGGTAAAGATGCGGCGTAGCCAAAGTTGGATACGGAGGACTAAGGGGTGAGGTGTATCAAATTTTTGTATAGCCTGTAAAGCACTAAGGGAGTCTGAGACAACCACAAATGATGACACAGGCATAGATGCAATACGGATAAGTGCTGTAAGGATGGCATACAATTCAGCAGTAAAAATACTAGCCAAAGATAGTAAATGCCCTTGTACGACACTGTCCGGAAACACTGCTGCGAATCCTACGCCGTCAGAAGACTTAGAGCCATCTGTGTACATGGCAATGGCATGAGAATGGGAGTGAAAGTGGTCAAGAAAGAGAGAGCAGGAAGCGACCGTAGACAGTTGGGCTTTCGAGCAAGGGAGGGAGAAAGAACAGACTCGAACAGCTGGAACTTCCCAGGGGGGTAGGGAAAAGTGAGATGCTACATGTACATAGAAAGGTGGTAGTTGAAGAGAAGACAAGAGCGAATGAAGGCGAAGAGAGAAGGGACGGAGTAAACAGGGGCGGCGAACAAATAAAGAATGTCTACTAATATCAGTGACCATTCTATAAATGGAAGGATTGCGGAGATCATGAGAGCGTACATAGTAGCGCAGGCAATGGGCATCACGGCGATCGGATAAGGGTGGAACGTTCGCTTCTGTATAGAGGCTCTCGACAGGGGAAGAGCGAAAAGCACCAAGGCATAAACGTAATCCTTGGTGATGAATGGGGTTAAGGCTAGAGAGAGTAGCAGGAGATGCCGCTGAATAGATCTGGTCACCATAATCAAGTTTCGATAAAATAAGGGTGGAATGTAGGTGGAGGAGGGTTCGACGATCAGCTCCCCATGAAAGATGAGCAAGGGTTTTAAGAAGGTTCAGCCGGCTGTGACAAGTTGCCTTCAGAGAGGTAATGTGAGGTTTCCAGGATAACCTACGATCAAAGAGGAGGCCCAGAAACTTGACTATCACGTTCAGGGATACGGGAGCCATAGAGGTACAAAGGATGATCGGAGATGACAGAGCATCTAGTGAAAGTAATTTGGTGGGTTTTAGTGCTGGAAAATTTAAACCTACGTGTGGTGGCCCAATTGGAAACACGGTCGACTGCATGTTGGAGAGAAACTATAATGAGGTGACAGTCAGCACCTGCACAAGCAATAGCGAAGTCATCAACATAGAGTGATGACCAAATATTTGATGGAAGACTAGAGGCCAAATCATTAATAGCAAGGAGAAAAAAGTGTTGTGCTCAGAACACATCCCTGGGGGACACCTTCAGCTTGGATAAAGTCCGGGGAGAGCACATTATTAACCCGAACACGGAAATGCCTGTCAGTTAAAAAGTTCTTAAGGAAGGATGGTAGATTGCCTCGAAGGCCTAAGGAGTGGGCTCGGGCTAAAATATTATACCTCCAAGTTGTGTCATATGCCTTCTCAAGGTCAAAAAATATGGCAATAACTGAGTGGTCATTAGCAAAGGCATTACGAACATACGTATCCAAGCGTAGTAAGGGGTCTATGGTAGAATGTCCCTTACGAAAGCCATATTGATGAGTGGAGAGACTGTTGTGTGTCTCTAAATACCACACTAAACGTCTATTTATTAGGCGTTCCATTACTTTGCAAACTGCACTGGTAAGAGCAATGGGACGATAGTGGGAGGTTTCATGTCCCGTAGTGCCTGGTTTGCGGAAAGGTAGAACTATGGCGGATTTCCACAGCTGTGGAAGAACTCCTTGTGACCAAATAAGATTGTAAAGGCGTAATAGGACTGCAAGGGCTGACTGATGTAAATGTTGTAGCATACGAATATGAATGTCGTCGGGCCCAGCTGCCGATGATCGGCAAGCTGAGAGTGTTGCCTCCAGTTCTTGAAGTGTAAAAGGCACATTATACTGTTCTTCTCTGAGAGAAGAAAAGTCCAAGGGTGCTAACTCTCTGGCATACTTTGAGGAAAGAAATGAGGGGCATAGATGGAGTCCCTGAGAAATACGGACCAGATGATTGCCAGTTTCATTGGCAACATCTAGTGGGTTTGCTATATCAACACCGGCAACCCGCAGAACAGGAGCCGGGTCAGGAGAATATTTACCACTCAGTTTTCGTACTTTTTTCCAGACTGCACTCAGAGGAAGCAGAGGTGATGGTGGAGACATGATCTCGCCAGCAAGTGCGTTTAGCGTCACGGATGACACGGTGAGTGATCGCACGCTTCTGTTTAAAATCAAGGAGTCTCTCTGTGGTTCTATTGTACCGGTACCTGCCCCATGCAGCGCGTTTCAAACGTACTGCACGAGCACAAGCAGGAGACCACCAAGGCACGCATTTCTGAGAATGCCTGCCCGAAGTTTGGGGCATAGAATGAGAAGCTGCAGTTAAAACAGAGGACGAGAAGAGGTGTAAAAGCTCATCGATGGAGGACGAAGAAGGAACCTCTCTAAAAACAGTTAGGTGTGAGTAAAGGTTCCAATTTGCCTGATCAAATTGCCAGCGTGGGATGCGCAGAGGTGGTGAATATGAAGGGGAAGTAAGAATGATTGGGAAATGATCGCTGTCATGTAAGTCCGGAAGAACAGACCAAGTGAAGTCTAATGCGGTGGAGGAAGAGCAGACTGAGAGATCGATGCAAGAGAGAGTATGAGTCCGAGGATCAAAATGGGTGTGAGTACCTGTATTTAAAACATGGAGGGGGTGGTGGCAAGAAAAGCCTCTACTAAATTCCACGGGAATCACGTGAGACCATAATTTTGCATACTATAACGTCAATGACACAGTCTATAGTTTAGTGCCTCTTTTCTGTCTCCTTTTTTAAAAAATGGGAACATACATTTGCCGTCTTCCATACCTCAGGTAGTTGCCAGTTTCCAGGGGGACGTGTTGAATGATTGTGGTAAGTGGCACGCACAACATATCTG